TCTCCACACGATGGATGCAATTATGCCAGGCCTTTCGATCCAAAGTTGCATATCGTCAGTTACTGCCCATCGCCTGTTCAGTACATGTGCGTCACCCCTTTGGGGTCAGTTCAAATGGTCATTTGTTTTCAAGTTGGTACCACTCACTGACAAAAATTCATATGAAGAAAATCCATTCCAAGTTGAGTTTATGCATACTAAGTGAGCAATTTTGGCTTTCTTAGTAATTTGCATTAAAAAATTGATTGCGATTCAAAAATGTATGGTATCTGGATTAAATTCAACAATGCATTCTCGCGTTTGCGCCAAATCCAGCTACGAAATATGAAATCAGGTAGTCCAGTAATCCAGAACCTATTTAGTGTATCTACATCAAATCCGATTATACATTATTCGATTTATATCATATCTCTGCTGTGTGCTTTGATGAGGGAATTTACCCTTATCATCACTATGTTTTTTTGACCTGTTTGTCGAATGCATTAAGTTAAGATCTAGGATGTCGCATTGAGTGTTGCGACTGTGTTGACGCAATGCTATGCTGTTAAGCCAAATTCTTCAAGTCCCCTGGCGTAGAAAGATGTGAAAGACGATTTTAAATTTCTGAATTTGCGTCGCATAGCGATGCTCCAAAATTTCAGCTTCCTAGCTTGCATACTTTGGGAATAGAATCATCGCAAGAGGTAGAAAGACACTCGCATACCTTAAATGCTTGTTGAGGATAAGTAGCCTATGTTGCCTTAAAATGTTCTGTATGTTGAGGATAAGTAGCCCTAAATTATGTTGAGGATAAGTAGTATGTTGAGAATTAAAAAAAAAAGTATGTTGAGGATAAGTAGCCTTAAATGCTCTGTGACCAAATTTGATTACGTCTATTCCGTCGAACGCACAAATGTCTTTTGTTATTTTACGTAATATGATTTTACTGCGTTGGTTAATTCTGAAAGTTGCCAATCCAATAGCAATATAGCAAAAGGTTTTGTACGGCTTTAGGCTACCTCATTTGCCGAGCAAATTTACCGCAAGCAGCTGTCCTATTTTTACTGAAATAAACTGAAAAGCAATGTCGGAACTCATGTACAATACCTGTGGGCTGCAGTGTGGTGTATTTGCGAGTGCAGCAATTAGTTGTACCATAGCTTCGCGTACGCTCTGCTTCGAATCACCAAGACGCTCCACCAGAGCGGTTGCTCGATCCATGAGATATGGTGAGACCACATCGCCGGATACCTCGATTGCTACATCAATTATCTCCACTGCCAATAAAGCTACCTGAAAAATATGCCTTCCTCTTGCGACATCCAAGAATTTCTTGGAATTCTCACCTTATTTTTTAGTTTTACAAAATCCTGAGGGAATGACAAAAGTAATATTCCTTATCTTGTGGAAGTCACTCTGCTGACACCCAACAGATGTCGCCTATTACTGAGTGAGTACTAACGATAAAAAAAAACGATTATTTGGACAGCCTCCGAAGAGATGTTCCATAAACAAGAAGCAAGCGATAGGTACTAAATGGAGGTATGCAGTTTAGAATCGAAGGCCCAGCACAGCTGGACTGGGAACGTGATACTCCCAGTAACATCACTAATGTGGGATTCCAGACCTACTGCCCAGGCAGTCCTGGTTTCCTCGAGTAAATATACTCTTATTTAAGCTACTGGGAAAGGAAACCAGCTAAACGGTTGATTGCTCCTGCTAAAGTGCCAACACTCGCGCCACATCCGATTGTCGCTATCCTTTACACGAAGTGAAGCAGAAGGGGTTTTGATTTTAGCTAACCTTATAGTTAGATCCGGATAACCACTGCACCACTAGATCGCAGAAATCATTCAGAAGTGTCGAATCGGATGGCAGTCGTGAAATTTGTAGTTGCGAGAGTAATTGTTGCCCCAATTCCAGGCGTTCACGCGGATCGGAACTGTTCTGCTCCAATAGTTCTCCAAGCCAACTCATTGTGCTCCTTGTTTTACATTTGTACCCCTAAAATATACCTAAATATTGTTAAAGTATAAGTAAAATATCCCCACGAAATCATATCGGTTAACGAAAATGCTGCCAGACAAGGTAGCACTGGTTAAAGCAGTTGGGAAAGTTACCAGCACATTTACGGAACTGACAGAAGGGCCAAAACATACATAGGAAGAAACGATTTCCAATTTGAACTGTAGACAGATCCAACAAAAAGAGCGGAAGTGAGGCTTCAAACAACTGACAGTAGAGATTAGATATTAAATTGGAACATAGAGCCTAAGACCGAAGGGCCTGGAATTCTTGCTTCTCTCGTAAGGGCACATCTCTGTGCGATATCAAATCAGGTATCCGCATGAACAATCCTAGTAATATTCCCTTCTTGAATACACCCTTTCCTCTTCCTCTTTCCATTTGCTTCCCACTCTTTTCCTGATAGTACTGATATGAAGTTTCAGTATCTCAGTTTCTAATAGTGCTTTTTTGTGCTGCATCAGTGATGCAAAGACAGTATTCACGCACGCATGTTTGCCAGATTAATTGAATTCCAGGACTACAAAAAGTTGGGAAACTAAAAATCTATCAGATTATATTTTTTGACGATCACCACGATATTTTAGACTGAAAATAACTAGTGAATTCTTATTTTTGCTCGTTCTCGATTCATACAAATAGCCAGGCTCTAAATCTGGACTCAAAAATCAGAAAACAAATGAAAGCAAATTTTTAGGCCTTTAATTGTGAACGCAATCGTAAACTGTGTCTTCAAAATCCTAGCTTTCCCGAGCCGTCACAGTTTCTTCATTAACAGAAAGACAGACACACACGGACACACGCACACACACACATAC